ACGGGGTTGGATAGGCGTTGGTGATCTTGGTTCAGTGAGACAGCAGTAATGTGGAGAAGACAGGTTGAAATACCCCTCAGCGAAGATTACTTAATCAAAAAGATATTGTTTTCTTCAGAAAACAAAACCAACATGAGAAAGCCTTTGACCTTTGCGATATTCCTGGGCAATGTTGGGCAGAGGTAGGGAAGATACTGCCTTTTGTAGTCCCTCAGACAGGTGGGAGGAAAGGTTCCCTTTCAAAGTACAGGAAGACCTGGAGGGGTGTGGTAATGGAATTCTTGAGCCATGACAGCTCCCTTCTTGCCCACATGCCAGGGAATAGAATTTGCCACCCATGGATACTTTGCTTTTATGTTTTTCTGCACAAAGGATGGAAGCCTCTGCCATGATTTTGGTGCCTGTCTTTTCTAAGTTGTTCTTGAAAACACGCATTTGTGTTTTCACCACTCAGATCCAATGCCATGTGACTTTTCTTTTTCTTTCTAGAGTAGTCTGTTCTTTCATGTTTGTGCCTAATTTTTGGTACTAGGTGAGACAGAGCGGCTCTGATTGTCTCTTCCTCTTTAGATGGGCTATGCCAAAACTGGCCAGAATGCACGGGGCCTCCTCACCAGGCTGTACAGCCGGGCTTTCATCATAGAAGAACCTGATGGGTCAAATCGAGTGGTTTTTGTCAGCATTGACATAGGCATGGTATCCCAAAGACTCAGGCTGGAGGTAAGTGATTGAGAAGAGAAAGAAATGACATGGTGGGGGTAAATGTGTTGAAATGAAAAGTCTGGGGGTAAATGTGTTGGGAACTAAGTTCTCCTGGTTCTTCACCCAGTGAGTTTGTACTGCCTTCAACATTATAAATCTTTGACAATCTAGCAGATGATCTTACAAGAGAAATGATCCTCACTCTTGCAATCCAATTTATCTTGGTTGAAACTTGCTTTTAGGGACCAGCAGTTGGCGAGTGCATATGCCCAATAGCAAAAGCCTCTCCAAGAAAGCCCCCAAAAACAAAACTTGCTTTCAACTCTGCTGGTGACTCATCATCATAAATAATGCTAGAGGTTTTGTTTGTTTGTTTTTGTCTTTTGTTGGAAATCTTATAATGTTCCAGGTGACCTGCATGTATAGCTTCTCCTTTAATCCTTCCTACTAGAAGTTTGGGAATGTCAGTCATTTGCCAACCCCTCCCACATGTTTCTAAACAATTGAGAATAGATGCAAGGAGCCCAGTGGGAATTAAAGTGCAATGCTGAAATGAGATTGACTGTAAACTGGTAGTTACAGAAGATGGGTGATAGGCACACATGGGAACTCATTATATAATTCTGAATATTTTTGTATGAGTTTTAATATTTGTATAAGAAAGTTCTTTTAAAAGACATTAACATCAGATCTCTTAATCTTTTCTTTTTTTTTAAGTTTTGTTATAGAGCATGTACACTCACTAGAGAGAGAGAGACAGAGAGAAAAAGTGAGTGAGTGAGAGAGAGAGAGAGAGCAAGAAATCATCCCCCAGGGGAATGACCATGCCATAATCCACTTTTCTCCATTCTTCTCTTGGGATTTTGGACACACTTGCACATATACACCTGGCATGGTTTCAAGCTGCTGGGTCTGGGACTCAGACTGCAAGTTGGTCATGGGGTATCCAGCCTCCTTAACCTCTACAGCACCTGCTTGTCCAAGGGCTCTTCATATTTAAACTGTGTTATAGAATATGGAAATTTTTTCTATAATTTCTTCCAAATTTAGAACTTTTTACCGCTCTTGGGAGACAGTTGAGTCTAGCAGAGAGGTGTGTGGAGGGTCTTGGGCTGCCTGAGACTTGTAACAGGTAGAGAAAGAGGAAAGGGGGGTGGATAGGAGTGGAGGAAGTTAGTGGGAAGAGATAAGTATGGTGGAGGGGACAGAGGTCAGAGAAAGAGTAATATGCATAAACTTCCATTCCTCCTTCTCTAAGACAATTTATAAACCCTGACTCTTGGGAAACTGAAAGTAAGTAAGTTTCCAAAACTCATGGTAAATGGTGAATCTGGACTCTGAACACATGTATACAAAATCTCAGAGCCCCCTTTGTTACAATAGATATTAGTATATTCTCTTAGTAGGAAAAATGTGCTGACTACCTGCTTTTGAAGGCACTTTGTTAGTCACTTCAGGGATCACACAGATAAGTGACTCATATCTATGTCCCCTATGAGGTCACTGTCAAGTTGGGAGATAAGAGGAAGGATTGTAACAGAAAGAGACAGATAACTGTAATTCACTGGAGTAAAGTACAGTTGTGTATTTGTTATCTATTACTGTATAAAGCATAATGGCTTACAACAACAAACATTCATCATCTGCAGCTCAGGAATTGAGGAGTAGCTTGGCTATGTGGTCCTTGCTTAGGTTCTCTTGCAATCACAATGATGGCAAATGTTAACAGTCATCTGCAGAGTTCTCTGGCACTGGGAAATTCACTTCCAAGATAGTTCACTCATGTGGCTGTTGGCAGAAGGCCTCAGTTCCTTACTCTTTCTAACCAGATGACATGGCAGCTGGATTCCATTAGAGTAAGCAGCCAAAGAATAACAAGAAGGAAGAAGCCACAGTGCCTCTTATGACTCAGGTTCAAAAGTTACGCACAGTCACTTTCATCCCGTTCTATTCAATAAGCAAGTCATTAAGTCTAGCCCACACTCCAAAGAAGAAAAATAAGCGTTACTTCTTGAAGAAAGAAGTATCGAAGAATTTGTGGATATATTGTTATTTAAGACCATCACAAGAGAATTCAGGAAATGGAAATAGGAAAGCATTTTCATGGTGGAAATGACATTTCAATGAGCAGAATTTTAGCTGGCTAAGATGGGAAGGGAGAGATATCTGATGGAAAGGACAGCATGAACAGAGGAGAGCATGACAGAGGCACAGGGATGCTCTTTTTTGAGGGAGCGGAGAACTTCTGTTAGAGCATATGGAGGTGTGTAGGGGGGATGGACGTGGAAGGTATAATGTTCATAAGTGAAGAAAGGCTCAGGTGCCAGGCTGTTTATAATTCTGTGAGTAGTGTGGAGTCTTAGAAAACTTTTGAATGATGGAGTGCTGTAGGCATGATTTTTTTCTTGAGGGTGATGGATTCAGACAGTGATGTTTGACATGGATTGGAATACAGTGCAACGAGAGGTGGGGACACAAATTAGAAGATTCTTTAAATTAATATTGAAGTTCTATTGATAGATCCAGTTTGGAAATGGTAATCATTCTAGGTATTTCAAACAGAGGGGATTCAATATGGGAGAATTTTACCAGGTGTTAGAAGGTTGAAAAACAGAAAGGAAAGCTAGGGTCATGGGAGGATTTTTAACTATGCCTGACAATTATTCATATGTCCTGTCAGATTGGCACAAAGATTTTAAACCAATGGGATGACAGTGAGATTGTAGGAGATGAATTGAAATGCTAATGAGATCTGGGATGACTAGATACAAATGCTAACACTTACAAGGTAAGTGTTACTCATGATAAGCCAGATACAGTTCTAATTACCTTATAGATGTATATATCAACTCATTTAATCCTCCAAACATTGTTCTTTATGGATGAATAATGTTCCAGTGCATATGTGCACCACATTTTCTTTATTCATTGATTGTTGGCACTTATGTTGCCTACCTGTCTTATTTATTATGAATAATGCTGCAATAAACATGGATGTGGAAATGTCTCTCTAGCAGAGTGATTTCCTGTTCTTTGGGGACATACCCCAAAGTGATATTACTGGGTCAATTAGTGGTTCTGTTTTTATATTTTTGAGGAACTTCCATACAGTTTTCCACAGTGGCTATAAATTCCCTCCCTAGCAGTAATACATGAGGGTTCTCATTTCTCCACCACCTCACCAGCCCTTGTTATTTCTTTTTTCTTTTCGTTTTGTGGAGAAGTTTTTTTTTTTTTTTTTTTTTTTTTCTTCTTGGGCACGTGCACTCACCAGAAAGAAAGATAGGAAGCAAGAAATCACCCTCCAGAGGGAATGGCCACGCTGCAATCCCTTTTCCTCCACTCTCCTCTTGGGATCTTGGGCATGCACGCACACATGCCTGGCGTGAGTTTAAGCCACTGGGTCCGGGACTCAAACCGCGGTCGACTACATGATGGGAGTCCAGCGACATAGCCATTACGCTAACTGCTGGTCCCTTTTATGTCTTTTTGATAATAGCCATTCTGACTAGGGTTGGGTGACACCTCATTGTGGTTTTGACTTTCATTTCCCTTATGATCAGAGATGTTGAACATTTTTTACATGGTTTCTAGCCATCTGTATGTTGTCCTTTGAGAATTATCCATTCAGATTAATTATCCAGGTTTTAATTGAGGTTATTAATTTTTTCATGAATGAGCAGCCCTAAAGAACAATGATCGCCTGTCATTCGACACAAAATGGATGAACCTAGAAGATACAATGCTAAGTAAAATGAGCCAGGCTATGAAGGACAAATACTAGAAGTCCCCATTTGACATACACCAACTGTCTTCACTTTTCAGCAGAAGCTAAAAGACTTAAGGGCATAAAAGTAGAGAGAATATTTATAGATACTAGAAATTGAATGACAGGGGTGGGGGGTTTCTAGAGAAAATGATTAATAGACACAAGAATACATGTAAACAAGTGAAATAGGTTATGGAATGGTATACCACAGCAGGGTGAAAATGCTGACAATTCGATATATGTAAAAAATAACGAACAAAAAACAAGCAGAAAAAAATATCAAAACATAAAAAAAAAAATCAAAAGTGTACTGGGACTAGCAGATAACACAATGGTTACATCGACCACAGTTTATGTCCTGGACTCGGCAGCTTAAAACTCACTTACTCTGGGTATGCACGTGCACATGCCCAAAATCCCAAGAGGAGAATGGAGGAGAAGGATCGCAGCATGGCCATCCCCACTGGGGGGTGATTTCTCCCTTTGTGTGTCTCTGTCTCTCTGGTGAGCACACGTGCCCTCTAACGAAAATCTCTCTCTCAAAATAAGTAAGAGGTGAGATATAGACATTAATAAATGCTTCGTTCTGTGTTAAAATATCCTTCCTTTCATGAAGTGAGAAGCATGCTATTTATAATGGCTATTCACTGACGTTGCTGTTCAATGATAATGAGTTATCACATAAGACTTTTAAATTTCTTTTTTTTTTTCTTTTACTTTTCCTTAGAAATTCCGTGTTTCTGACTTCTGAGATTGTGGTTTAGAAAAAAAAATTTATGAACTGCTTATAGTCTTTTTTTGCTTTAAAATTCAACATTTATAATTTCTGTTTTTCTAAGAATTTAATTCTCTCTTTTTAAAAAAATTGTGATGGAGTATATGTGTGCACTTGTGAGAGTAAAAGAGAGCGAAAGAGAGAGAGAGAGATGAGCACCTTCCTCAGGGTCCAGTCATACTGTGCTCCCCTTCCTCCAGTTCTCTAGCCTGTAGTATCTTGGGCCTTCTTGCAGGTGGCCTGTATGTTTCACACTGACTTGGTAGGTCATTAGAACTGTACTTGTCACATGGGACCTGGCTTCTCTTGAGTCATGAATTACTGCTGTGCTGTGAAATTGGCTCAAGAAGTAGATTCTTGAATAGACATGAAAATTATACATTTAATTCTAAAAGCCTAATGTGATAGTTCTTTAGAAATAAAATAGGGTGGGGTTGGGTAGCTTTAAATTTGACTTGCAGTTCGTCACCCCACTCCAAGCTTCCTGTCTTGGCTACAGACTTGTAAGAATATCAGCTTTTCACTTTAGTTCCGCTTTCATAATGTCCCTTCATTGACTATTTTCCCTGTTTCCTGTTGACATTTCTCCTTCATGAGTGTGGTAGTTACTGTGCTGAAGAACATGTGAGAGTGATGAGGAGTTGGGCTGGAGGCAGGATAAACAGGAAGAAGATGGAAATCCATTGGGATGAAGGATGAGAGCTACTTAGTATAAAGGATGTTAGTCTAGTTACATCACATTTTCTTTCCACATTCACCTTGTAACACAGGACTGGTTTTGGTGGACATGGCAACCGAACAATCAGTTTTATAGACATGGAAAGGTTAACGAGGCTAGGTGATTTGTAAAATCTTCCTGTTTCATGGACTAGATGACTGGAATGAGGGTGGTGTAGCTCTTCACCTAAAATTAGGAAAGCATGAATGAATGTCTTGTGTGTGTTAAACACACAGCACATAAGCTGCTACTCCACTATGTACCAAGGGTGTGCTAGAACTGGCTTGTGCCTGCTCAGGAGAGTTGATTGTTAAATATTCAGGAGCATTGTGTAAGCTGGTTGTTAAATATTTGGTAGCTCAAAATTGATCATGGTAGGAGTATGAGGGGACTTCAGAAGGTTTGCAGAAAAATGGGATCCTAGGAAAAACATGGAGAAGAAGGGATTGTGACATGGCCATTCCTACTGGAGGGTGATTTATTACTTTCCCTCTCACTGTCTTTGTCTTTATCTCTCTCTCTCTCTGGTGAGCACATGCATATTAAGGCAAAATCCTCTGAAGATAAATAAATAAAATATGAGCATATATCGGTGCAAAAAATTGTAGAATTAGTGCATAGTTTTTTCATATTATGCATCTTTCATGAATTTTTTGAACACCTCTAATATTTATACTACATAAACAGGCAAATAATACAAATTAGGGATTTATTTTTAAAAAAGACAGTTTATCAGACTATGTAGGCCACACTCAAAGTAAACATTATTAATGGTTGCTTTGAACTTGACACATTTTGCAAATCATTTTAATCATCTTTCACAAAGAAACTGTAATAATACCAAACTAGATTGTAGCTGATTAAAGTATAATGGGAAACAGATCCTAGCAACATCACACATTTTCTCTGTTGTTTTCTTTCTTTTTTTTTTTTTTTAAGAGTCTTATCTTAAAAAATAATTTTTTTGAGAGGTTTTTACTATAGGGCACATGTGCTTGCCAGAAAGAGAGACAGAAAGACACAAAACGAGAAATCACCACCACCTCCGGGGGGATGGCCATGCCGCAATCCTTCTCCTCCATTCTCCTCTTGGGATCTTGGGCATGCACGCACATGCGCCCAGTGTGAGTTTAAGCCACTGGGTCTGGGACTGAAACCGTGGTCAACTACATGGGAGTCCAGTGACATAGCCAACTGCTGGTCCCATAAAGTTTGTTTTTCTCTATTCATCATAGAGCAAGTGCATGCATACAACACTTCAGACAAAGAGAGAGAAGCACCTCCCTGGGGCCTGACCACATTGTGATCTCCTTCCCCTAGTCCTCCAGCCTGTCAGATCTTGGGCACTCATGCACTGGTGTGTTTCTAGGGCTGACTGGGCTGGGAATTTGAACTGCGTGTGGGATCAAGCTTCTCTTGTTAATAGTGTTGAAACATTTCAAAATTGTTTTTCTTCATAGCATGTATCACTGTGTGATGTAATATTGCATGTTTATTTGCCTGTTTATTGTCTTTCTCCTCTATTGAAATGAAAACATTTTCAGGTAGGAACTTCGTATAATCCTTGTGCTTAGAACAGTACCTGAATATCGATGCTGTGTGTCAGTTGGTGAGTAGCCTAGAGTCCTGGTTCCGAGGTTAGAGAGGCTTGAATCCGGAGTCTGGCCTTGCCACTTATTAGATCATTGGGATGATTATCTAACTTCTGTATACTTCCATGTCCTCAGCCAAAAAAATGAGGTTAGCAATACCTACCTCTTGGGATTATCACAAAGATGTTTAAATGATGTAACATACATAAAGTATCTGGCTGAGTGCCTGCCTATATCAAGAATCTATAGAATGTCAGAGATGGCTATTATCTTTGTTACTATGTTCATAGACTCAAGTTTAGAGTGAAGGGCCTCTTGCAAGGGATATTATTGAGATGAATCACTGATTGAAATCATTAGGGCCTTGTTTGATGCTGAGCTCCCATGTTGTCTCTCCTCTTAGTTCTATTTTTTTTTTTTTCTTCTTGCAGGTCCTGAACAGACTGCAGAATAAATATGGCTCTCTGTACAGAAAAGACAATGTTATCCTGAGCGGCACTCACACGCACTCAGCTCCCGCAGGGTATTTCCAGTACACTGTATTTGTCATTGCCAGCGAGGGATTCAGCAATCGAACTTTCGAGTACATGGTCGATGGTATTGTGAAGGTAGGCATAGAGTATGCTTTTCTTTCTTTCTTTCTTTCTTTCTTTCTTTCTTTCTTTCTTTCTTTCTTTTTCTTCCTTTCTTTTCTTTTCTTTTCTTTTCTTTTCTTTTCTTTTCTTTTCTTTTCTTTTCTTTTCTTTTCTTTTCTTTTCTTTTCTTTTCTTTTCTTTTCTTTTCTTTTCTTTTCTTTTCTTTTCTTTTCTTTTCTTTTCTTTTCTTTTCTTTTCTTTTCTTTTCTTTTCTTTTCTTTCTTTCTTTCTTCCTTTCTTTCTCTCTCTCTCCCCCCTTCCTTCCTTCCTTCCTTCCTTCCTTCCTTCTCTCTCTCTCTCTCTTTTTAATCATGGCTTACAGGTGTGTTTCAAGTGGGGCGGTATGATAGGGAGAATGTCCCTGGAGGAACCGAGTTTAAGCATAGTCTTTGCACCTCTATTTCTTTCTCCTTCTTGACTCCCTTTTAGCATCTGGTGCTGAGCTGAAGGTTATTAGCTTCGAGGCATTGATTAATCGGAGGAGGGGCATTCTATAGCAGTAAGCCCCATACAACTATCTAAAGAGACATAAAAACATTTTATTTGTAACCCTTGTAAATTTTGGGGTCCCACATGGCCGATATTTCTCTCTGTACAAAATCACATGAAAGGGAATTTATCAAGGCAGTAAAAGTAATTATAAAGAATTCTAATATTTTCTTGTATTTTCCAAAGAGCAAGCAGGATCTAATTTATAAACACATCCTCCTCATTTCTCTATAGCAGCTTTAGGCTTTCAGGGGTTCCTTACTAATACCCTCAAATCCTTTTCTATTTCTGCTTTGAGTAACTTTTGTTTCTGTCTCCCATGTCTCCTACTTCATTATTTTCTTGCACAGAATCCTTGCTAATGTTTTTCTTCATTTATTTGCCTACCAGCTATAGTCCCTCTCTATTTTATTCTCACAAAGTCACTCCCAAAATTCAGGGATCCAGTCATAAAGGCAGAAACATCTCTAAGACAATGTTTTCCAAACGTTGGCCGGTGGTGTATTATTGGCTTATGAAGTCCACTTCATGGGTTGTAATAAACATTAAACAATAACAAAAAAATCTAAAAAAATAGATTGGTAATATTTTAGTGTATAACAGTAAATATTAGGGTGTCATTTACTTTGTGAGCTTATTTGAGGATACATATATCGATGTGTATTCATTTATAATGGAAGATATCTGTCTCAATGTGGCCGAGTCAAAAACATTTGACATCTGCCTTAGAAGGAGGTGGGATGGAGAGGGAGAAAGGTGGGAATATTTATATGTTAACAAGTCTCATCCCAATGCCATAAGAATCAAATCTCTTATTTTGGCCACCTGAATGGCAAATCGTGCTGGATCTAGCACTCCTGAGAGCCCGGGAGATGGAGCACTAGGAACTCATAGAGCTCAGGTGTTAATTACCCTGAGCTTCTCGGTAACACAGCATTTCTTCTGTCTCAGCCCTGAAGGCCATTTCTGTTCACCTTCAGAACTACACCAGCCACGCGGTTCTCCACCTTTTACTGCACGTGGGAACATGTAAGAGACCAAAGGAATTGTCCATGGGCCTCCTGTCTTCATACTGACTCAGTCATTAACCCCACCAGGATTTCCAAGCTCACATCTTCTTTTCTTCTTTTTCTTTTTTAACCTGCAGAGTATTGAGATTGCACACACAAATATGAAACCAGGAAAAATCTTCATCAATAAGGGAAATGTGAATGGAACACAGATCAACCGAAGCCCTTACTCTTATGCTCAGAACCCACCGTCAGAGAGAGCAAGGTGAGGAGGAATTATCAAAATGAAAAAATTGTTGTATTACCTTAGGCAACAGAAACAAAAATCTAAGCACAGGGTTGTTAGCTGATAAAGATGGTGGGATCCAAGAAGGGTAGTAAGCTAAAATAATTTAAAAATATGTTTTTAATCTAAAACAAGTAGGATAAAAAAGTGAATGTAGACACAAGCACCACTTTATCCACTTATCTTCCCACTTTGTTGGCTATAGGAGCCAGTGTGGATACTTGAAGGACTTTGGGTTTCCCATTCAGACACAGCTGTGGTCTCATCTAAGCTGTTCATATCCTGGCTGTATGACCTTTTGTGATGTGTTCATCTTAATTTATTGGCTCTCAGCTTTCTCATCTGTAAAATAGAGATAAAAGTGTGCATAACACATATTTTTTAGGTTAATGAATAGCTCTTTTATTACATGTTGTCTAAAAGAAATCATCTTAGTCTAAGAGAGTTTGGTAAGAGAGAGAAGATAAAGGAATCGAGAGTCTAGAAGGAAGAGTAAGAAATAAAGCCAACAGAACTGAGTGGAACAACTAAGGGAGATGATTATTTTGTCTTTTTTATGTGTGTGTGATGAACCAGATTGGGGACAGAGGAGAAGTACTGGCCTACTATGGCAGTATGAAATAACATATCATTTTTAACTTGATCACTTGACATTTTGTCTTTGCATATGGTTCAAAAAATTTCAAAGGTGTTGATTATTTTTACAAATATTATCTGATTTCCCTTCAAAGGACATAAAAGAGCACTCAAGTTGCAGGTCTTGAATGCTTTGGTTTTGCAAATTACCTACTTTGCAAGAGATTCTATAAAAAGTGATGTGAATAGAATTTCAAAGACAACTTTTTATAAGATATATATGTTAATATATGCTGCAGAGTGTTATATATACTATATAAAAATATATATTTCAGCTCAGTTGACCTAACGCTCCTAATTTTGACCACAATTGCAAACCATTTCCTAGGCTGAAGAATGAGGTTCTGGATACAGTTCATTGTACTATTGTTTGTCAGGAAGTCTTCTATACTGGGGGTCAGTTTTGTTTGGTGTTAACTTCCAGTGTTCATTAGCCTTGAGTGCCAGCTTGTAACACTGAACTGACTGAATTTCTTTGTTTTGCAACTAGGTATTCTTCAAATGTAGACAAAGAAATGGTCATCCTAAAAATGGTAGATTTGAATGGAGATGACTTGGGTCTTATCAGGTATTTTATTTCCTTTTTTTTTTTTTAAATAATTTGGTATGGGAAACTTTCCTTAATTACAGTGAGACAAAATGGAGTCTAGAAGTGCCATCAAATTCTGAAAATAAGTTGAATGGTTAAGAATCTAAACTCTGGAGTAGACACATCTGGGATCCAGCCATGGGTTCTTGGGCAAGGTTCTCAGCCTCCTAGGGCTGAGTTATTCAGCTGCAAAATAGGCTAATATAAGAATGACAAGGATGAGAAATCTTGGTGAAGAGCTTAGCACAAGGTCTGGCATATTACATAAAGTCTCAGTAAATATTAGTACATATTCCTTTATCAAGCTCTTGTATGCAGGACATCTATGATCTTAGATGTTCTGGTAGAAAGATAACCAATCAGGCAAGTGATTATGAGTTTGAGATTACTTGCTTGTTTCCTTAGAGAGATTAAATCTAACATAAGACATTCCAGTTAGGGATAAAAATAAGGCTGGATTATCTAGAGGAAAACGAATGAGACTAAAGTATGTCTCAGTACAAGGTTATGTACCACTGGCAGTGGCAATAACTGGAGAACCATATGGATTTGCTTCCTTCGAAAAGAAGGCATTTATATTCATTTGTGGTTTTGGTCCCTGCAGTTGGACGGGCAGCAGAATCCAGTAGGTGGGCAATGCAGTACCAAGCATTTTGATCTGAGACCATGAAAATAAAGCAGAAATGCCCTGAGGAAGCATATGATAGTGCTTAAGTGAAAGTCAAATGGCTTGTCTTCACCCTGGACTCTTGTTCTTATTAGCTATGGAATTTTGGACAAATTACACAACTATTCTATCTCCCAGTTTTCTTATCTTTGAGCATTTTTGAGCATGCTAAGGGGAAAAAAATGCATCCTTAAAATGTTCAAAAGAAGTGTTAGAAAGGAGATGAGTGGTTTTCCAGGTAAAATTCTAAAATATTGAAGTGAAAGAGTCTATAGGCTTTTTGGCTGTTCATGTGTCTTCCTTAAACAATTGTCTGTTGAGTTCATTTGCTATCTTATAACTAGGTTCATCATTCTTTTGGGGGGATGGGGGTAAGTTGCTTGAGTTCCCTGTATTTCCTGGTTATCAGACCCTTATCTGAGGCATAGTTTGCAAATAGATTCTCCCATTATGAGACCTGTTGATTAAATGTTTTAAAAAAAGTTATTATAAAGGTATAGTAATGTAAGCAGTATTATATTGTTAGAAGAATAGATAGAATAGAAAAAAAGGAGTCTATATGAATAAATTAACATTGAATTAAAAATATCAAAGTGGTAAAGAAAGATCTTAAAGCTCTGACTCACAGTTTGCCCATCAGGGTGGCCCTAAAACTTGGTGGAGAATAACATGGGATAAGGAGGTCAGGTTTTTGGGGTAAGTTTGATTTGAGTTTAAATCCCAGCCCTGCCTGCAATTTAGCTAATCCTGTGGCATGGGGAAAGTAACTTATCCACTTAGACCTAAACTGTACTATTTGAGAACGGCAATAATACTACCTCATAGGGTTGTCTGAGGATAAAACGAGATAATGCATGCAAAACTCTGGGTCTGTTCTTGGCATAGAAAAAGAGTTTAATAATTTTAGCTCAAAGATAAGGAACAGAATAAGATTCTACCTCTTCTAATTAACTCTGTTATTGGCATATCAGAGTGCCTGAGATTTTTAGCATGGGAGTTACTCCTTTGGGTTTAAAGCAGGGTCACTGAAAACTGATAAAATGTGCTACATGGGCTGATGTCATAGGATTCATTCTTCCATTACAATAAATTAGTCTATTGATTAGTTGTCATCAAACATTTAATTCAACAGACTTTCTGAATGTCAGAGCTATAACTATGTGTTTGGGGTATGCTTTAATGAATAGGGCATGCTCCCTGTCTTCAAAGCTTTTACAAGATAGTGGGGTGATTGGGACAGGAGACAGATAGAAATAGACAAGTGACCATACTATACATCAGATAACCAGCGATGATATCATGTGGGCATAAAAACATGCTGTGAGACTTTGGAGACGGTAGCACTGAGCATTCATTGAAAAATGAGCATTTCTTGAGAAAGTCTATGGAAGACTTTCAAAAAAAATGACCTTGTTGATTAAGACACTATGTAGTTTATCCTAGATGGGAAACTACACTTGGTATGTTGTGATGATACTCAGGGAATGAGTGTTAGGCAATATAATTTAATATAAAAAAAGTAATAAGCAGGAGAAAAAAAAATGCACATTTGATGACTGAAGAGAGTTGTATGGACACAACTGGGGTCTACTTTATAATATGTTCATTCTACTCCCTGGGGTTTATGCCTAGGATCAGATTTGGATACATGTGTAAGGATATGTCAGCTGTGCTAGCTAGTGGATATACTTAGACTAATTGAGTTCATTGGTAGAACAATTGAATGGGGGGGGGGCGGAAGGCATTGAGGGCAATCATGAATGTCAGGGACAATGGAGGAGGAAGATGGGACATGGCAGAGGGTGGGGATGGGGAACCTAGGATGGCAAAACAAAAGGCAAGGTATGCAGGACACAAAAATTGGGAAATCATTTGCTGAGAACATATATGTTGATGTGCTTGATTGAGCCAATGCACAGTGTATTTTGGATGGAAAATTCATATGTGTGTTGTGACGAGAAAAAAAAAATTTATAATAAAAAAAAAATGACCTTGGATATAGACTTCAAAGGAGTCATGGAATTTCTCATGGAGTCATGAAAAACAGTGAGAGGCAGAGTGTGATCTAGGTCAGGGGTGGGTGAGAAGTGAACTGGAAAAAGGAAGCTAGCTCTAGATTAGGTAGCATGACAGTATGGAATTTGATTAGGAGAGGGTAAGGATAAGGACGTACATTTCTAATAAGACCGAGGATCCTAAATTTCTTGGGAGAACAAGGTATGTTTTCTCTTATGGTTTCCATTTAACTCTTGACTGAATGAGACCATATACCACCCCGTCTTATTAGTTTCTGAATCATTTAACAGTGGAAACAGGAAACTCAAAAATGTCATCCATTCAGCCAGATGTTCCTTGCTTATAACTATATGACATATCTGGAAGTCCCAGTGTCAACTGTCAAGGTTATAGTTAAGCTTCTCCATCTGCCATGCTTAGCACCCTGTAATAACTTTCCATTGTTTCTATAGCACCATATGTTTTCCTTGATGTAATTGCTCCTATAATTGTCTCTTGTTGCATAGTGATAATTACTCTTGGAATACATTAAAAGTGATCCAAAACATAAAGTCAAATCAGCCACCACATGTAAGTTAGACTCTCAAGAGGTGAGGAGTTAGGGAGCACAGACTCTCAGAATTGCAGAGCATGGAAATGACCTAGTTCAACCTTCACCTGGGGAACACAGGCCTAGAAAGGTGATGAGATCTGGCTAGTGTCACAGCAAGACTATCTTTTTCACGCTGAAAACCATAAAACCATACTGGAGTTCATAATTTATCCCTTGGGGATTCCTTACTATGTTCATTTTTGTCCTGTTCCTTCATTTAGTAATCTGAACTAGGCACCAGTAGGTGCCTTTCATGTAAGGCTTTCCAGTCTTTGAAACAAAGTAGTGCCTGCCTTAAAATCAGGAATCAAATACCTGTGTCAGTGCTCCTTGCATAAATCCCTTAAATTCTCTGAGACTTGTTTCATAAATGTGGACCATCTCTTAATGTGGGTACCACATCTATGCTCCACATGGAAGGTATAATTTACTCTTTCATTTATTAAATATTTATGGAGTAAACAGGTGATACTTGAGTTATGATGTGGTTGTATCTTGGTAAATGTACGTATAGGGTCACTGGGAAAGTCATGATGCATGCTTGTATAGAAAAACAGAAAAATTTGTCATGACTTTTTCAACAACTTAACAAGTTGGAAATATAAGTCAAAGAAACATTTAATATACCTAACCTACTGAACATCATGGCTTAGCTTAGTCTGTCTTAAATGAGCTCAGAACACTTCCATTAGTGTAACACAAAACGTATTTTAAAATGAAGTGTTGGATAGCTCATGCAATTTGTTGAATGTCATACAGAAAGTGAAAAATAGGATGATTGTATGGGTAATGAAAGTATCGTTTCTATTGAAAGTATATCACGTTTGCATCATCATAAAGTTGAAAAATCATAAACTGATGCATAATGAATTGGAGAATTTGTGTGTGAATTAATCTTAGGGACACACTGAGGTGCAAAATTAAATGTAGTTGTTCCACTTACAGGGCTTACAGTCAAGTGATACAGATGAAGGGTTCAAATATTCATACAATACTTCTGAAATGATATTTGGATTAAATGCTAAGAATTATATATCAATTATACAGTTGAATTATATTGGGTTAAGCTAAGAAAGGTATATAGAGCTATCTTAAGGAATTTCATCTTCTCAGAGAGATTGAGAAAAGTTAGCCTGAGGAAGTGACCATGGGAGCTGAAAATGAAAGGAATAGTAAGAACTAACTGGCAACATGGCAGATGAAAAAGAATTTTTAATTCAGATGAAGATGCATGTGCAAAAGTCCCATAGCCCATTGGAAGCTCTACTCGAAAGTCTGTATGGGTGGAATGCAGAGGACAATGGGCAGATGTTATGAGATAAAGAACTACATATTAGAGACCAGCAGTTGGCATAATGGCTATGTCTTTGGACTCCCATGTAGTCGACCGCGATTCGAGTCCTGGACCCGGTGGTTTAAATTCACGCTGAGTGCGTGTGCATGTGTGCCCAAGATCCCAAGAGGAGAATGGAGAAGAAGGGATTGCAGTGTGGCCATCCCCCCATGGGGGGTGATTTCTTGCTTTCTGTCTCTGTTTCTCTCTTTCTGGCGAGCGCACGTGCCCTACAGCAAAAACCTCTCAAAAAAAAAAAACAAAAAAAAAACAAAAAAAAAACAAAACCCAAAAAGCTACAGATTAAATAACATGGTAAAGATTTTATTATTTTATACCAAGAAAAATGGGAGATCATTAAAGTTTCATCT